GGCACTAGTCGACCTAGGAGGGGAAGGAGAAAAAAGTGTCCTTTATGACCCTCTGACAAATTATTATAGACCTCAAAGGATGTCTGTTAAACATCCAAGAAGGTTAGTTCCACCATTCTGGCATTTTTAATTACTGTGTGTCTTGCAGATAAATCTTGGGTAATGACCAGTTGGTCTCAAATAAACCTTATCTAGAGATATTTTTCTTGATCTTTTATGTATAATTTGTCAGTAGATTGTAGGAATAATATGGTTCCCTCTGGTTTTCGTGACTAGCTAGGCATTGTTTCTCTGAATGTGTACCATGTGTCACATAGTCATTGTCTAAGCACAAAAGTTAGGAGCTTTGCTTTCGAAGAATTTACAGGCTGCTGAGGAAGAGACCAAGTATTCAGAATAAGATACTAAGATGTATGTGTGCTATTTCTCAAGAGTCATGAACTGATGAGCAGAAAAGACTAGCTAGGCATTGTTTCTCTGAATGTGTACCATGTGTCACATAGTCATTGTCTAAGCACAAAAGTTAGGAGCTTTGCTTTCGAAGAATTTACAGGCTGCTGAGGAAGAGACCAAGTATTCAGAATAAGATACTAAGATGTATGTGTGCTATTTCTCAAGAGTCATGAACTGATGAGCAGAAAAATCAGCGTGGCTGTAAAGCCAATGGAGGTCTGAAAGGATTCTTATTGAGTGCTATGTAAGTTCAAAAGAAGAGAACAAATCCATACAGGACAATCATGGAAGCTTCCTAAAGATATGAACACTTCAGGTGGGCCTTAGAGATGCAGAGGATGGTAATGGGCAGAAATCAGGGGAAATTATAGGATACAGATACTCAGAAACAGCAAGTTCTAACATAATATAATTGCAAATAAATATCAAACATTAAGAGAGGGCCATTAATACTGGGCATGACAGTACAGGTCTCTAATCCTAATATTCTGGAGGAAGAGCCAGGGTGATTACAAATTTGAGGCCAGCCTAGGCTACATAGAAAGAACCTGTCTCAAAAAGAGAGAGAAAGAAGGCCGGGCCTTGAGATACTTCATGACAAGTAGGATTTTACATTAATGTAGAAGAAATTGGGAATCACTGAAGATTTTCGAGGAGAAGAGTGGTAAAATCAACAACTACTTAACAGTAATTAGTCTGGGACAATGTGGAAGAAAACCCCTGCCAAGAGTGAGAGTTAGTTTGGGGGTTTCATTATTACAGTCAGATGGCAGTGGAAAATAGGAATCAAAAAGGGGATAACTAAGATGTTATGATGCAGTAATGAGGTGTCAATGGTAATTAAATGGCCCACAGTGTAATCAACAGGAAGTTCTCCAATGAAGAATAGTGGGGAGGGCTCTCCAATGGAGCACCCAAGGCAGAATGATGGTATAAGGGAGTGAGGTACCTGGTCCTCTGTTAGAATGAGAAGCATAGGAAGCTAAGAGGCTGCCAGATGGAGAAAAAACTAACCGTAAATGTGGGGAAAAGGGCAGACAGAGGAACAGAGGGTAAACAAGAAAATTTAAGAAATCAAAGTATTGTTGGCATACAGGAAATAAAACTTGTGCCTACAAATTCAATATCATTGTCTAATGCTTCTAATTTGCCTAAAAATCTCCCTGTGATTCCATTTGAGTTTTTAAAAGCCTGTGTCTATATGCCCCTCAGTATCCTCTCGCTCACCTCTCATAACCAAGCTCTGCCTATGCAAACCTAAGAGGGCATTAGATAGATCACCATCCTGTGAAAGAGCCCCCCTCTTCCTTTGCCTCCTCCTCACTCTTCCCAGACTTACCCCAGGTTCTGAATAACTTCATTCTCTCCTGACTGTCAGTCTGCCTCAAGGCCACTAGAACTTCCTTTTATTCCATCCTAGACATCTTCACTTTTTTCTAATGCCATAAAGATGAGGAGCTTGAAATTTCAATAAAGGTGACTAGCCCAATGTCATTCCCAGATAAGGCAGAGACAGGGTGAGCACTGAAGTATCCTAATTTCCCATCCCTACTGTCCCTGCTTTGCCTAAATCATCTCTCTTCCCAAGTCACCTTCCTCCACACAAGTCTCCGTACAGCATTTTTCACCTCAGTATTCCTGAAAGAATAAATAATGGGATTTAAGAAAGGCGTGACCACTGTGTAAAACACAGCCACAACCTTGTCTGCAGGCAGGGTAACACAGGGCCTCATGTAGGCAAAAGAGCAGGGTATGAAAAACAGACCCACCACTGCAAGGTGAGAAGCGCAGGTGGAGAGTGCCCTGCACCGCCCTTCTGCTGTGTGACCCCTCAGGGAGTGCAGAATAACCGCATAGGAAGCCAGCAGTACCGCAAAGCTGATCACTGAGATGGAGCCACCATTGGCAATGACTAGCAGGCTAATGAGGAAGGTGTCTGAGCAGGCCAGCTTCAACACTGGATGTACATCACAAAAGTAGTGGTCAATGACTGAGCCACAGAAGGGCAGCTGGAAAATGAGGAAGGCCTGTCCAGCAGAATGAAGCAAGCCACCACCCCATGCTGCCCCAACCAGGAGGCCACACACTCGCCGGTTCATGATGGTGACATAGTGCAAAGGCTTGCAGATAGCCACGTAGCGGTCATAGGCCATGACTGTCAGAAGAAAGATCTCAGTGCCACCAAAGAAATGGAGGAAGAATATCTGTGTGATACAGCCCTGGAGGGAAATGACTTTCCTCTTGAGCAAAGAGTCAAAGATGAGCTTGGGGGCTGTGACAGAACAGTAACACATCTCTACCAAGGACAGATAGCTGAGGAAGAAATACATCGGGGAGGAGAGTCCTTTGCTGGCCATGACAGTCACCACAATAAGGCCATTACCCAGCACAATGGCTGTGTACATCAGGAGAAATATCACAGAAATGGTCTTCTGTATGTTCTGATGCTGGGAAAAGCCCAAGAAAATGATTTCTGTCACATTGCTTGTACTCATGTTTTAAAGAGTCGGGGCTGACAGCCTATCATCACAGAAATCAGACCTCCCTCAGAAATGAGAGATTACCCTCCTTGGGCCTTGTAGTCTTGTTAGTCCAATCGCTTTTGAGCTGCCTTGGGTTTCTCCCAAAGCAAACAATGACACAGTGACTAAAACAGCAATTTTCTACTGCTTGGTATTCTCAGACTGCAATTGACTTTGTAGTGATGATTCAGCATAGACATTACCTGATTTTACCCTGATAAATGGAAGAAAAATACCTGTGTGATGAATTCCCAGAAGAAAATGAGAGAATGTTCTGTAGAGAAGAAAAGAAATGAGAGAACATTCTGTAGAGAAGAAAAGTGAGACTTCGGTTCCATTACTTGCCCAAGGTCACACAGCTCATAGTTGAATGGTTGTTCGTAGTCTTCAAAATGTCTGCACTACATTTCTTATTCATGAAGAGGACCTTATACCACTGCATGATTCATTTCAGATTGGTCTTGTTTTATGCCATAATCTGGGATGAACATTCTACAGTAGTAATAGAATTTTCTCACTCTAATTCTTCTGGAACTGGCAAGACTTACCAGGCCCTGGGTTCACACATGTTAAGAGCAAATTATAAACTATTAGAGGATATTTGGGTACCCTTTTATTTTCCTTACCACCCTGTTTATGCCACCTGTGAGGGGGTTCATTAGGGTACTTTCACAGCAGGAGGCTGGTTGGCACCACCTTTATGAATATGCAGTTTTCCAGGATTCCAATTCAAGTGTCTTCCAACAAACTCTTAGAAGAGCTGTCTGTTAATACAGTGGGGTTCAGTATGCTAAGTGACATACTAAATCAGTCACAAAGAGAAAACTACTCGCTCCATGAGTAAACCCTTTTGCATAAGGTACCTAGAAATGTTAAGTATGAGGGAACAGAAGCAGGATGGAGCTTGCTGGAAGCTGGAGGGAGGAGGGAGGATGTGGAATTGGTGTTTAACAGTAGATTGTCAGTTGAGGGCAATGAAATGGTTTGTGGGTGTGGATAGTGGCTGTGATGATCACACAACAATGTGGGTGTACCTAATACCACTGAACTTTACCCCTAAAATGGGATCTGCTATGTGTGGCTTATAAAAGTTAATTAATAGTTGAATTGCCTCCTGATGTATTACCACCTCACAATTTTCCCTTCCCCATACCCACCTCAAAGCACAGCAGTTGATTCTTGAAGACTCTCCTTTCCTGCCTACTTATTTTAGCTTCTTTCTTATACCCAGTTAGTTTCACACGTTGCAGAAAAATTGAGAAACTAAAGCATTCAGAACAGAAAATTCATTCCACACTGTGTTATGGGGTATGAGGCAAGAATGATATGATGTCCATTTTATTCATCCATGTTGAGATGGTCTGCAGCCATAAGAGAGATGGGGGCGGGGGGAAGCATCACAATTTAACAGTACAGACCTTCATTCAAATAAGAGATGAATGGCTTTGAAGAAGTGACTAATTGACTCTGAATCTTAGTTTCCTGCTTCATAAAGTAGACACACTCGGACTACAGAGATGGCTCAGCAGTTAAGAGCACCGGATGCTCTTGCAGAGGACCCAGGTTCCCAGCACCCTCATGGTGCCTAACAACCATCTGTAACTCCAGTTCCAGGGGAATCTAACACCCTCTTCTAATATCCTCGGGCATTGAATACACGCAGGCAATGCACTCATACACATAAAAATAATAAATAAAATATTTTTAATAAAGTAGGTACAATACCATCTTCTCATCATGTCCATTCCCAACACTAGCCACCCCTCTGGTGTGCTGGTGTTTTACGTACAAGATGTTTCTGTGGGAGGCAGGAATCTTAGGGAAGCAAATTTCATTCTTACTGGAAAGATGACTATTACTAGAATAATATTTTCTGTGAGATTTATCATGAAAGTAAATACTCTGTGTACTGTATTGCTTCTGATTGGAGGTATCAATAAGACTGGTTGTCTACAAGGATTTTTAAGAATTGATCTTTGAGGATTTTTAAGAAGCACTTCAGTCTTAAGATTTCAAACAATGTTGGGGGGGTTTAACTTTTCTTCTTTGCTTACTATTTTTTAAATATTTTATTACTTTTATTTTATGTATATGAGTGTATTTCCTGCATGAATATAAGTGCACCTGTGTCATGCAATGCTTCAGAAAAAGGCATCAGATCCCCTGGAACTGGAAATAAGAACAGTTTTTAGCTGCCACTTGGGTGCTAGGAACCAAACCCAGGTCCTCTGCAAGAGCAGTAAGTGCTCTTAAGCACCGAGCCATCTCTCCAGCCCCTACTTACTATTCTTGATACCACTTATATATTAATAGGCATCTTACTAAAATTAAATAGGCCATTTTTTGTTAAGGGTCATTTTTCTTTACAATTTTATAATTAAAATCTACTGCAACATCTTTTGTAGGTTTCAAATGAAAATAATGTTGTTTATAAATCATCCTCATAACGTGAATATGGAAAAATTAGCTTTTTAATTTACTATTTATTTTTATGTGTATGGGAGTGTAACTACAATGAAAGTTGCCAATGGAGGGGCTGAAGATGTAACTCAGTTGGTAGAGAGCTTACCTAGCAAGCACAAAACTCTGGGTTGCTCTCCAACACCACATAAAACTTGTGTGTGGGTGCATGGGGGTGCATGTGCACATATGTGTTCATGTGTGTAGAGGCCAGAAGGCAATCTCAAGTGTCATTCCTCAGGAGCACTATCTACACTGTTTTCTGATACAGAGTCTCTCACCTGAGGCTTGTAGATTCTGCTAGGCTGACTGATCAACAAGCCCAGGAATCCACCTGCCCTGCCTCACCAGAACTAAGATTACAAACAGATACCACCACACCCAGCTTTTCACACGGGTGCTAGGGATCAAACTCAGGTCCTTATGCTTCTGTGAGCAAGCACTTTCCCAAGTGAGCTATCTCCCCAGTCCTGGTTTGGTCTCGTTTGCTTTGATTTGACTTGGTTAGGTTTGGTTTGGTTTTAATCCCAAATTATTTGCTTTTAAGATAACATAATAAAAACATCTCATAAAGCTGAAAGTTGAGTGAATTTGGTGTGGAACAAAGATATAGAAACCAATGATTATTGGTCCTCCAAATAGAAATGAAAAGTGTTTGAAAGGCAATTTCATAAAGAGCCCATCAGACCAGAGAACTGCTGACAACAGTGGTGGCATTTCACCCATGGGGTCTAAAATAACTTTAATTCTGACTTTTTAATTGATGGACACAAAGGAAGAGACTAAAAGATAAGTGCACATACTTATCAAATAAGTTAACTGCACATTTCCAGAATTTGCAGTTAACAAAACTTAAAATAAGGATGAACATAGAAGCTTAAAATAACTGGAATCCGTAAACATCTTCCATGAAACTTTTCAGATCATCAAAATGAATCTTGCCCCAGTGACGAGACTTTCCATGTGATGTTTCCAGCCTTAGAGTCCCATGCACTGTGAGGTTCTGACAGATGAGACTGGCCCAACTGGGCTTGTCCAGTGTTCCCTCTCTAGCACTTTTTTTTGCCAAAGACATCCTACCTTTGGAGGATAAATAACTCAGATAACTCTTCTTCCACTTTCTTTTACTCAGTAATCATAATTAATTATGATTAATTATGGAATTAATTTTGTTAATTTTGGAATGAAGTTCATGGACACCTCATCCTGCAGAGAGAGAATCTGGGGTCCAGAATATCATGGTAGATCTCAGGGAGCTGGCATGAAAAATAGGTTTCATAGCTTCCATTTAACACTATCTCACCCATTGACTCCTCTTCTGGTGCTCACCTAAACCTGGCTTCAGAAGGGAGGGAGACCATGAAGAGAGAAGAAAATTGTTTCTACAACAAAAGCAACAGCAAGAAAAGAGGCAATATCTAAAATAATAAATAAACAGCGAGAAAATTAACTTTTTGTGGTTCAACTTCACTGGGCCACTTGCCATGGTTATAATTCCTATCTAGACGCCCTGTAGAGAACTCAGAGGTCCTAAAGAGGAAAGCATATTTCTGGAGCCCGACAAGCTGGGATGCCAGGAGAAAATAACCATTGCAAGATTTGCCTTGGGGATGACAGAGCTTACCTCAAGCACTTCGCCACCAAGAATTATCTAAACCCTTAGGTGTTTCACATGCATCTTTCAGGTCTCTCCAATGAAAATATAAACTCTTGAAGGCTTCTAGAGTATGTCTTATATCATCTGTAGCACTCTGCACAGGATTAAGAGCACGGTAGACCTTAATGAGCAGTTTGGCATGGTCTTTGAGTCCTCTAACTGCTACTACGCCTATTGGGAAACTAAGATAACAATGGAGGTTCTCCAAACACACCTCAGAGACCAAGAGTACATAGTCTCAAAGAATAAGCTCGTCTTTTTTAAAGTAATTCCAAGCATACTCCAGGAGAGGTTCAGCGAATGAACTTAACTTGAATATAACTAACTGCCTTTCATTCTTAACCTGATCCTCCAGATCTTTTACAGTCATGAAAGGGACTTGTTTGCATACTCATACCAAGAAAAAGAAGTTTTATTTTATTAGCCAAGTCTAAAAACAAAGTGACCAGAGACATATAGACTGCACTATTGTGTATGGATCTAAAACTTGGAAATCATGGTTCAAAATTATTCTTCTGCAAAATATGAGCTTATTTCAGTTTTCTTTCTGCAGTGCTGTGTTTTAAAATTAATATCTTATATATGCTACGTGAGCATTCTACCACTACACTACATATCCAGCCCCAAAATTTAGGTTTCTGCATAGGCTGATCTCCATACAGACTGAGATGCAACTAACATCCTTATTTCCTCCACAGAATGCCAGATGTAAGAAAATCTTAGCCAGGTCCCTTAAATTTCTCAGAATAATATTTCTGAAAAATACATAGCTCAGCAATTAATTTGGAACTTGGAATTGCAACTTATTGCAAGCTAGACTTTTTACCAGAGGCTCTGATAAAGAAAAATGACTATA